CCTTGAAAAGAATATTTAATTTGAAAAGAAGTTATATCTCGTAATCATGAATGTGACGCTTACCTCTTTGGTACTCTTCGGTTTAAATAGAGCGAGACTTTTGCAATAAATTTTGCTGAGTAGAAACGCAGTGGGATTCCATTGCGATGATATAATAGAAAGATTTATTATAAGATAAGTCTGAAATTTATACTCTCTACGTTTTATGTCACGTTGCAGATATTTTATGTCATTTATCGCGTAATCAAGAGTTATTCGAAGTGAAGAAATTCAGTAAACGTAGTATATAAAAAATTTGAACAATATTTGAGAACGCGAGATGCAATGATAAAAGTTTTTAATTTATAATTTACGGTTTTGAAGATTCAGATTTTTACTCGATGGTAAGTTAGGACGTGAAAGCTTATGTCTTTCCGAGGTGGCTGCCTCTAAATAGGATTGCTGTCAGTAGTAAAAGCAAACTTAGTTTATCTGATAATTGTGAAATCATCAACTAAAGATGTATGGGAATATTATGGATAATTACATCTTTGAAAGTTTGTCAAAACACTGTTTAGATATTTTTGGCAAAATTAAAATTTCTCTTTTAATATTATAAAAGTAGTACGAGTCAACGATTGTCAGACATTAGTATAGCATAGTTTTTATTTGTTTTAATATGAGTAATTTATGGATATCTTTAATATATTTAATACATATATATAATTTATACATTTTGTATGTATGTACATGAAAATTATTAATATTATGTAAATTTATTTTGTCCTAATTAAGATACAGTATTGAATGCAAACTTTCTTACTGTTTAATATAATACATTAGCATACATTAATTTATTAATCATTTTATTAATTACTTAATCGTAAATTAATTTTATGTATGCCTAAATTATTCTTGGTGCAAAATGTTCTTCAATACTTAATGTTTAAACAAGGTTAATGTGGGTATTCACTGCAACATCTAACGATCATGTATAATCGTTACATGAAATGAACCAGAGACCCTATGGACAACCTTGCCATGAAAATTATGCTTCAGTGGTTAATGTAATGTATATGGCAAAATGTATATGAGGGAACCAAGAGAGAAACTATAGTAAAATTGTCAATATTTCTATTTCAAGCAAGCACGAATAACGAGTAGCAAAGTGCATTTATTTTGTTAATTTATTTACATCAAAATGTATTTGTATCCAAAATTTATATCAAAATATTTAATATTAAAATGTAATAAATTACTGGGATATATAAATTATATGACATTTTATAAAACTTTCAATAATTTATAATAATTATCGAGGATATATTTAAATTAAATTTAGTAGAATTATTATTTCGAAGCTGATTTTATTCTTAAACTATTTTTAGAAATTATAGAATTATATCGATTCTGTTAATAATAAAACATTAACTTATTTGTGAGCTAAAATCTACGATTTCGTAGTTATTCCGATAAAATTCCAATAAAATTGAGTTGTCGACTTATTCTGATAACTTTGTGGATTCAAAAGAAGAAATGAAAGCGAGGTTGTAAGATGAATAAGATGAGAAAAAGAGAGAGAAGATGGACGAAAGAGAAGTAGCGTGATGATGTCGAATTGATTGCGAATCAAAAAGACTTCGTTCCATTGAAGCTTTCTGGTGGCTTCGTCGAGAAAAGTTTTTTGAAAAGAGTTTTTCTATATACCGCATGACATTTTTGTTCGTTTCACAGAGTTAATAGAAAATTTAACTGAGATCACAGTTTTAAAAATGAATGTCGACTTATCTAAAATATAAAATATAAAATATTTTTGCGGTGCAAAATTATTTGATTTCATAATTTGATTCCATAATAAATCTTTTAGTAATTAATAACGATGTATCAGATGTTCTCTGGAATTTTTTATGTAATTGCTAAAGTTTTTTTATATATATATGTATATATCTAACAAATTTTAGCTTACTCAATAATTGTAGAGAGCTATCAATCGAAGACTGCTATATATACAGATAAGTATTTGTGTATGTACATGTTTTAAATTTATATATTTTTGAATACTTTATGCCTATATATTTCTGAAGCAATAATGTTAAATGTTTTCTTACTGACATTTAAGTATTGTGTGTCACAGGGTTATGTGTTGTGTAAAGACACGATGGTAAATACTACTTTATGCACAGTTATGTGAGAGAGAGAGAGAGAGAGAGAGAGAGAGAGAGAGAGAGAGG